GGTTACGTTTTTGATCGAGTGGGACCAAGTTATGTAAACTTGTGCATTTATCTATAGTTCGTGCTACGTTTTGGTCTCTTTTTCCGGATAGGGCTATCTTATCATCTAGTCAGATAAAAATTTAAAAACGGGAAGTAATCATTCTCTTCATGTTTCACTAGTGAACTCAGTTGACTAATAGGCTGCATCGAATTTGGACTCAACATGATCAGGATAAGTGTTCTTGTCAGCAATATACATATGTGATCTACACAACGGTGATATTGTTCAGTTGTTTCTTAATTGGATCATGAAAATGACCGGCAAGAATGGGTCCAAAGGGTGAACCGATAGCAAATCAGTTCAGTTCCGTTTCACTTTTTACAACTAATTACCATACACTTTCCTGCGGCTTTTTGGTTTCTGTCTTTAGGCTGTCCATTTAGATAAAAGAGGGAAATGAAGATCAGAATGTTGACAGATGGCAGAGTGAAGATAAAAATAGAGAAGTCTAATGGACTAAGGTTGTAAAGATAGTGAGTGGATGCACGATGCCACTGTTTGCGATACTCAGTCAGGAAATCGACGTTAACCTATATGACTGAATCTCCCTAGTTAGTGTCTTTATACTCTCTTAGTTTCCTCACCCTTTACTTTGCTCCACCGACTACTTACCTCAGCAAACATATCACGCCATGGCAATCTGTTTGATGACATGTGTAACGCATGCTTTAACCGACATTAAATTATTATTTTTTTCAATAAAGGATTACTGTTATTTCAGATAGAACAAATAGTGGCGAACAAGTTCGTTTTCAGTAAATTGTAGTCATGCCAATATATCACAATAATTATCACGTTTACATGTATATATATATATATATATATATAGGTTATTTGGTTTTAGGTTATTTGGGGCTAATTTTGTCCGGTGCTTCTCTGTCGGACTGTTCAGACGAATGCTGTTATTTCTTATTATTCCCCTGGCTCAAGATGAGAATGTCTGAAAGAACAAGTACAGATTTTCGTGCATTTAAACATATTAGTAAATGGGCCGCGGAAGATGTGTTATATATATATATATATATATATATATGCCACCATAGTATATTGTGACCTAACATAAGGGGAAGGGGAGAGGTCTATTTCCGAATTCAGAATCATGTTTAGGGCTAACCGGGGACAAGGAGAAAACAATTTTTGTTTGTATTAGCCATCCCCCCCACCCCCGCCCCCGCGAAATCTGCAGTTCCCAGTGCTCGGATACAACCATCCATTTCTCGTCTCGGTGCTGAACACCATGTTTGAATTTTGTTATTCCCTTTCGCCGTATATTTACAACAAACCACAGCCCAATTTATGTCCCTTTTCCCCTCGTCCTCAAACTCAAATTGACACTATTTATAGAGGCCATTTCTTCCTCAGTTTTTTCCTCTCTCCCGTAACACACACACACACACGCACACACAAGCCTCCACATCCTGCCCACCTTCCTCTCCGTGGCAAACACGCCATAATGATTGACGGAACCGGCTTTTTACTGACCCGGTATTGAGAGGTTATTTTTGTGATCCTGTTCTAGTCTCTTGGCTAAAAGTGGTGGTCAGACAATAGCGACTGTTGGTTTGCCGTTCCTCCGACCAGCTTATCCCTGTTCATTCCCTGTACATACGTACCGTATTCTATTCATACGCCCGCCCCCACCTCCGGGTAAAACCATTCATTCAATCGGCAGTTTTAATGTTCGGTCATATCAAACGTGACACGCAATACCAGGGCTGTGATCTGCTTAATGTGTGTGGTCTTTGCAGTTGTATGGAGTGACGGTGGAAGGGGGTGGGTGAATGGGGAGAAAAGAGATGTGGTATGGTGTTATTGTTTGTTAGCTTGTTCGGTTGTTTATCCTGCGTATGAAATGTGGTTCTTCCTGTGAAGCTTCTTGCGATTTGTGTCCGTCGGTGAATCGTATTCGCGTGTTGCCCGACTTAGACAATCACCACACTCATATGAATGACTGACACGACCAGGAAGCTTTTAAAACCCAATCACACTTCCCACCCTGACTGATATTCAACAGAAATAGTAAATCGGTGTTGAATTTGTTGTCCAGTATCCATCCCTCATGCCTCTCCTCGGACTGGGCTGATTGGTTCGACAAACTGTTGTTTTATGACCACGACAGAACCCGAAGGAAAACCAGC